TGCCTAAATCTCAACAGTAGTAAGATTTAGATGCTGGTCATTGGAGCTGTAAGATTTGGTGTTTTCTCTGATTAATCTGATTGTGCTTTCCTATGGTTGTTTATTTGCTATGATGTTTACTTGGCACAATAACATAGTAAATGTAACTTGCTATGATAATCATACGAGTTTACAATGAAGAGGTTTGAGACTGTCCTTTTGGTTTTTGGTGGGGGGTTGCTTTGTTTCTGCATTTGTTTTGTTTTGAGACAAAGTTTACTTGCTGGTGTTCTGAGTTACAAGGGACAAGAGAGACACTGCAGGATGTGTGACGCTTAGCAAGAGCAGCAAGGGAACCAACCTCTGACCGACCGTCTGACTGCCTTGTGGCCTCGAAGTTCTCTTTTGTTGATTGTTACACAAAAGACATTTTAGCAAGTCAATTCCCGAATACCAGAATCTCTTATCTGATCCAGGGATTGTCTGAAGCAAGCACAGCCATCATAAGAATTCCAGGTTTGCCAGGAATGTCTTATGACTGAGGTCATCCTAAGGTTCTGAAGTTCCCAAGGAAAAGCAACCCTATAAATCTCAGATAATGGGCATTGATTATATGCAAGAGATTACTTCAAGGCTTATGCGGCCCTCACTCCAGAGTAAATGCCAGGTGCAAAGGCCCTTCTAGTTTTTCCTTTACATTTATTTATGTGGCCCTGTCTGTCCTGGAACTCACTCTGTAGAAAGGCTGGCCTCAGACTCAGAGATCCACCTGACTCTGCCTCCCGAGTCTTAGAATTAAAGTCATACATCACCATACCTAGCTGGGATTTGACACTTTTACATATTTGAATTTTTAAGGATTTTGAGTGACATTTTAAAGTGGATTATATTTACAGTATGAAAAAACAAACAAACATGAGACTTAGAGGACAAGGTTATAGTTCTTAAAATTTATTTTTATTACTTTGAAAATATTTATTTATTTGAGCTGGAAAGATGGCTCAATGGTTAAGAACGTTAACTGCTCTTTCAGAAGGTCCAGGTTCAATTCCCAACACTCACATTTGATGGTAGCAACTGTCCTAATTCCAGTTGCAAGGGATCCAAAGTCCTCTTTTGCCCTCTATGGGAATAGATAAGGGAAAAACACTCACACACATAAAGGAAAATTCTTTCAACTTGTGTGCATCTTAGCATCATTCCTTTTTTTTTTTTTTAAATTGCATACATCCTTAATCCCAGCAATTGGGAGGCCAAGGCAGGGGGATCTCAGTGAGTTTGAGGCCATCTTGGACTGTGTAGTGAGTTCCAGGCCAACCAGAGTTACATGTTGAGACCCTGTCTCAAGGAACAAAATATATATTTATATATGTATTGTATAGGCATATGTGTCTGCTGCAAAATATTTGTGTTGTAGAATATTTATTTACATTGTAAAGCTGTGTCTTTGTCAAGGTGCCTTCTGATTGATTTAATAAAGAGCTGAATGATCAATACCTAGGCAGAAGGTATAGGAAGAACTTCCAGGCACAGAGAGAGGGGAAAGGGAATCTAGGCACAAAGGATACACCAGGAAATGCAGAACAAGTCAGAGGTACAGAATGACAGAAAGGTAAAAAGCCGTGTGGTAGAACATAGATTTTAAAAATGGGTTAATTTAAGATATAAAAGATAGTTAGGAATAAGCCTAAACTATAGTGTAGGGGCCAGATTATACTGGCCAATATTCCTAATTGTGTGACAGTCAGAATTCTGAGCAACCTGGCAAGGCACAATTTGCACCTGCCACACAGATGCCTAGCCTTTGATAGTGAGACAGCCTGATGTTATCCTAAGCAAGTGGTCAGGATATGTTAATGTCGTTCTGTTCCTTCTATTGTAATTTAGGAAGTCACCTGGGGAAGAGGTGTTTTTTCAGTCTATGTCACAGAGCAGGCATAGATAGGAAGACGTGACCACAGTCATTCTCCCCACTACCGAGGAGACAGAACGCTAATGAACTTCCCCCTCAGTTTATGTTTTGATATAAAAGCTGTTTGGAGAATAAACACAGGTGATTTTTCAGGATGTGAATTCAGAATTTCACGAAGGATCCCTGAAAACTCTCTCCCAATACAGTCGTGTGAGTTGCGTTTTCATTCCCACACCTCCACTCTGGTACGAGAAATAATTTAGATCCAGTCTGGTCCTGCGCCCTGACACTATAGTCCAAACTTTCATAATTAATATAAGTCTCCGTGTCATTATTTAGGAGCTGGCTGGTTGGATAGCGACAGACTGGTTACATATTTGATGACACTGTGTGAAGATGTCTGTTTTACCTCACCTGCCTAAGGCACCTTCTGATTGGTTTAATAAAGAGCTGAATGGCCAATAGCTAGGCAGGAGAGGATAGGCAGGAAAAGAGAAGAACTCAGGGGAAGGATCTGAAAGGCGGGGGATTCACCAGCCAGACTCAGAGGAGGTCGGACATACAGTCCTGATAAGAGGTAATGAGCCACACACAGAACATAGATTAATATGCTGTGGAACAATCTGTACACTGTAAATGTGTTTTACTCTCACTGACTAATAAAGAGCTGACTGGCCTATAGCTGGGCAGAAGATACTGCACAGGAAAGCCAGACTAAGAGAATTCTGGGAAGAAGGGCAGAGTCAGAAGAATCGCTAGGAGACTCAGAGGGAGCAAGACATGCTGGAGGACAGGTAAAGCCTTGACCCACAGGGCAGCACATAGATTAATTGAAATGGGTTAATTTATGTTGTAAGAGCTAGTTAGCACTAAGTCTGAGCTATCAGTTGAACATTTATAATTAAGTATCTGTGTTGCATATTTGGGAACTGGCAGGCGGGAAAGAAAAGTCTGACCACATTAATATAAATGGGTTAATTCAAGTTTTAAGAACCAGTTGGGGGGCTGGAGAGATGGCTCAGAGGTTAAGAGTATTGCCTGCTCTTCCAAAGGTCCTGAGTTCAATTCCCAGCAACCACATGGTGGCTCACAACCATCTGTAATGAGGTCTGGTGCCCTCTTCTGGCCTGCAGACAGACAGAATATTGTATACATTAAAAAAAAAAAAAAAAAAAGAACCAGTTGGGAACAATCCTAAATTAAGGTCAAGCTTTCATGCCTAATAAGAAGTCTCTGTGTCATTATTTGGGAGTTGACGGTCTACAGAACGACTTGCTACGTGCCTACATAAGGCTACGGTTCTTAAAATGTCGTATACATGTCAAACTGACAAGGGTGAATTACTGTGGTTGGTTTGAGTGTCAACCTGCACAAATTACAACCACCTGCGTAGGGAGCCGCACCTGAAGAACCGTCCTGACTTACCTGGGAAGGCACTCATTGTGGGTGGCACCTCCTGGTAAGAACCAAGATAGAAAGGCATGGAACAGACTTTCCTTTGGGCCACCAACCAGCTCCCAAACCATGACACAGAGCCATATTATTAGTTCTGAATGCTTGGCCTTAGCTTATGTTTGTGTCACTAGCTCTTCTGTTTCTCTTCATTTATATTCTGCCTCGGGGATGTTTACCGTCCTTTCATCCTCTATGTCCTACTCTGGGTCTTGCTGTCTGACAGCTGCTGGGCTGGCTGGCCCCACGTGTCTCCCTTCTTTCTCCTTTGTTCTCTACTCTTCTCTCCTACTGGTGCAAAGAACTGCCAGCCAAAGTTAGGGAGGGATTAGCCAAAACAAAGAGAGAATGTGAGCAAGCTCAAGGCTGGTTCAAGTATTTATTCAGTACTCCCCCATGGTTAACAACTTTAATCACCGCATTACCAGGGCCCTTACTCATCTTAATACTTTTCCTTTCTTTTGGGTCCCTGTATCCTCAATAAGTTACTGGTTTTCATTAGGGGAAGGATCAGCACAGTACAACTGATGGTGCCACGGTCTCAATATACTCCATCGGAGACCCTCAGAGAGAACCCATGATTGGGTCCTCTACTTACTTCTAGAGGGGAGAATGAGAGACCAGGGCCCAGAAAATCCGGGCTCCACAGCCCCTACACTGACCCTAAACAGCTTGGCCCAATCCCCAACCCAGTAAAAGAAACACACCCTGAAAATGGGACCAGAGCTAGGGGAAGAGACACTTTGTCCCTGAACCTAGAACTGGAGAAAAGCCCTGGACCCTGAAACCAGGACCAAAAAAAAAAAAAAAAAAGCACTAAACCCCTAGATTTAGAGCATACCAAAGATATTCTCCCTGGTCCCAAATTTAGGGTCAAAAAGGTAAAAAGAACCAAAGAAAGAAACACAGTTTAGAATCAGAGCAATCTCTGCCCCTGACACAAAACTAGTCAATCCCTGAGCAGGGAAAGCAGACTGATCACTGAGCCTCTAGAGGCTTGGAACTCCATCAAGTCTGGATATCCCCTTACATCATAGGGGGCAGTCAATCCCAAACCTGGAAGTCTGGAATTCCCCTTGCCCCACTAGGGGGCAGCCAATCACAAGCGCAGAGGCTTGGAATCCCCCCCACCACCACCACCACTGCCGCTGCCTCTGCTTCAGACCCCTGGAGGGACCCAAGTTAACAAGCAATAAAGACTCTGCTTTTGCATCAGATACTGCCTCTGGTGATGTCTTGGGGATCCAGGCTTTGGGTGGTACCTACTTAATCTCTCTGCCTGCCAGCCTCACCTATCCCTCTACTGCCTAGCTATTGGCAATTCAGCTCTTTATTAGACCAGTCAGGCGCCTTAGGCAGACAAGGTGAACAGCAACACATCTTCACATAGTTAAACAAATGCAGCATATACAACTGTAACACACCTTTACATTGTTAAAGTAATATCCCACAACAAAGGTGTTTCAGTAGTTACTCCTCTTGTCTTTTGTTCTTTGCCTTTACCTATACCTGTGTGTGTGCGTGTGTGTACGTGTGTGCACTCATCATCTTGGTACTGTTCCTCTTGAGAACCCTGACTAAAACAGTACTCTACCAACTGAATCACATCCGCAGCCCCGCTCCGCCCCATCCCTTTTTTCCAAACGCGAACACCAGAGAGGGCAGCAGGTGTGAGGTTTAATCTATAGGAGTCTTTACAGGCACTTTTCACAATCTTACAAGGGATTCTTGAGAAAAGTCAAAGTTCTGTATTTCATTTCCCAAGTCTTGACTCCCTCGGTTCTTAGTGCCGAGTTCATCCTCTGCTCCCGATGCAGGCAGCTTTTCAGCTCACCCACACTCCTCAAAGATGTCTGGATAGTGCCGAAAGAGCACTGGCGGATCCCGGTCATCTCGGACTGGGGCTCCAGGCACAGACCGGATCCCAGGCCTCCGGCCACGGCGACCCCCGGAACAGGAACGGTGGATCCATTGGTGTGCTTCCATGGCAAACTTCCTCTTGAAGCGCATGCCGCACTCTGGGCAGGGGAAGGGTCGCTCACCCGTGTGCATGCGCCGGTGGTTGATCAGCAAAGAAGGGTAGTTAAAGCGGCGCCCGCAGTCCATGCACACATGGCGTCGCTGGCTGGCCTGGGCATCTGTGCTGGGTACCTGGGCCTGGCCTGGGGCAGCTTTGGGTGGCAGCTGTACCCCTGCAGAGGACTTGGTAGCCATAGAATAAGTCTTTTGTTCAGCCACCTCTTTAGATTGCAACTGAGCAGGAGGAGTCTCTGCCAGTCTCTCGGTTCCTTCCTTGGGGCCCTGCTCCTTCTCATTTGAAGTATCTCCTGGGAAACAAATTAATTACATTTAAAAGATCTCACTCGGAAGCCAGGCAGTGGTGGCGCACACCTTTAATCACAGCACTCAGGAGGCACAGACACGCAGATCTCTGTTAGGCCGAGACTGGCCTGGTCTACAAGAGCTAGTCCCAGGACAGCCAGGGCTGTTACACAGAGAAACCCTGTCTCGAAAAACAAACAAACAACATACACACACACACACACACACACAGACAAAATCTCACTAGGGAAGTAATCTCACCATTTGGAAAAGCTGGGGCAGGAAGACAGCCATGAGTTTGAGGCCAGCAAGGCCTACATAGTGAGACCTTGTCTCACAAACTCAAAACGGAATAGTAGGGTATGGTGGCTGCTGGTCTTTAACCCTAGCACTTTGGAGGTAGAGGCAGGTAGATTTCTGTGAATGTGAGAACAACTTTATCTAAATAGAAAGTTCCAGGCCAGCCTTACCTGTCTTAAAAAGAAAAATCAACGCAACAAAAATAAAACAAAGGGCTGGATAGATGGCTCAGGGGTTAAGAGCACTGCCTGCTCATCTAAAGGTCCCGAGTTTAATTCCCAGCAACCACATGATGGCTAACAACCATCTGTAATGAGATCTGGTGCCCTCTTCTGGCCTGCAAGCATGAATGTAGGCTGAATACTGTACACAATAAATAAATAAATAAATAAATCTTTAAAAAAATAAAACAAAGCAGGATCTGGAGAGCTGGCTCAGTGGTTAACAGCACTTGCTCCTTTCCAGAGGACCTGAGTTCTGTTCCCAGCACCCACATCAGGCAGCTCACAACCACCTGTAAGTTAAGCACCAGGCAATGCCACACCGCTGGCCTCCTTGGGCAGCTACAATGTGAACATACCCACATGCAGACACATACATTTACATGTAATGAAAAATAATAAAAGTAACTCTTTAAGAAACAAGTCTCAATAAAACATAACACTTTTACATAGATGCCCCTAGCTTTTGCCCAGGTAGAGTCACAATAAACTGCCCAGGGACTAACACAAAGACTTTGTTGAAAGTCAAACAGTTAAAATTTCTCTTTAAATGTCAAACAGGAAAATAATGGCTTCTTAACTTCACTGGGTTATTGGGAGGATTTAATACATCGTGCTTGGTGATAACTTAGTAAATGCTCAATAAACAGTTACTGTTGCATTTTGTGTTTTGGGATTGTTGCTGTGGTTGGCACAGTGGTACTTTTATAGATGAGGCACCATATTTGCTTCAGATGTCTTCGATTCAGGGTAGCGATGGCAGATGAGCCGAGCTGTTATTATACAGGATTTGTTCTCATGTAACACTTGACCTTGAGAAACAGAATAGGCAGACCTGAAACCAGTTCGATTTTTAGGGACATTTTAGGATGGGAGGGGACGGGACATAATGAGACAAGGTCTCACTACATGTAGCCTTGATTGGTCTCAAATCCACCTGCCTTTGCCCCAAAAGTGATGGGATTAAAGGCAAAGGCGTGTGTCACCACGACCAGCCTTAGTTGGTTTTTAAAAAGGGGAAAATGAGCAGTATCTAATAAACATCTGGAAATCTAAAACTTCTTTGTGCTCTAGATTCTTCTATGCTGCTTTTAACATCTCTCGAGTCTCCAAAACTCTCACAGGTCGGCTTTCTTTCCTTTAGTGTCTGACGCATGTTGACTCTTGAAATTCTGTAGGGACGCCGGGAAGGTGAATCTGAAAGAAAGCTTTACTAGAGAAGAAACCCCTGACATACAAGATGCAGGAGGACTTGGGTCAATCCCTCACCTCTCGGAGTTCCTCCCAGGCTTTTCCCCTCCTCAGGATCCTGGGCGGCGGGGCTCCAAGCCTCACTCTCCTGCTCCATCCAAGAGATGAGGGCTGGTTTGGGGCCCGGGAACCCTGAGAGAGAACAAGGGTCACAGTGCTGGCCTGAGCGACTGGCCCGGGCAGATAGCATCCCACTAGGGTGAGGGCACCTCCTCGGAACTTAGGCTCAAATCAACCTGGGCAGGGTTTGCGTTGTTCTTGCCTGAATGGAGACTCCCGAGGAAGCCCTGGGAATGGAAGGTGACTGAGGCTGCTGGTGGAAAAGTGCGGGATCAGGGCTCGCGATCCACTTGGTTGGTCTACAGCATCTCCCCTCTGAAGCCCCGAGGAGGATGGGGAGCGGGGCTCTGACCCGGGGCCTCACCGAGCGCGCCCAGGAGGCCGTAGGTCTCGCGCATCACCTCCCGGTACAGGGCTCTCTGCGCGGGCCGCAAACACCCCCACTCCTGCGGGGAGAAGTACACGGCCACGTCCGCGAAGCTCACGAGCTCAGGCTTCCTGAAACCAGGCCAGATCTCCCCGGGCATCGGCACCAGCAGCGGGGCAGGGGGTGGCGCCATCGGAGTTCCTGCCGGGGCAGCGGCTTGGCCGCCCCAGCCTCCGGCTTCCGGCCTCGGCTTCCCCGAGAAACCACGCCCTCGGCCACGCCCCTTAGTCACGATCGGCCCCGCCGGGAGCAGGACAAAGTGGGCGGTGTGAGGACTGCAGGGCTCCGGTGGAGACTAGTGAGGCTGCATAGTTCACTCCACAGCCACTCGGACAGAGACACGACTCGGGTGAAGGAAGCCGATGCCTTCAGAAAACATGGCGACGGCCTGGCTTCAGTTGCCATTGACGGCACTCGGGCGCCATTTGTGCCGCTGGGCAAATATGGCGGCTTTCGAACTTCCTCTGCCCATTTGCAAATGCAGCGGCCCTTTTGCCCTTAAACACAATGGCCGCGTCAGGAGGGTTGATGCTCGTTTCTGTGTGTGTGTGTGTGGGGGGGGGGGGTTCAAAAAAATACCTGCCACCTGCTGCCTCAACGCCTTCTCTGTGAGCCATCGCAGCGGCAGATGATTGGTTGTCACCGCCAGGAGCAGCTGTACTGCAATTGGCTCCGGAAAGGCGGGATGTCTCAAACGATCTGTAGACCTGGACATTCCCGGGGCCAGAGGTTGACTCTTCCCCGTGTCTCCACGAGCGTCCTGGTCAGCCTCTGGAGGCTGGCCGAGCCTGGGCACCGCATCTTAGAAACCAGTTTCGTGTCCACAGAAGAACTCGCTATGCAGGTCAGACTGAACCTGAACTCACAGAGATCTGCTTGCCTCTGCCTCTGTGTCTGGGATTGATTAAAGGTGTGCGCCACCACTCTGGCTGTAACGTGTTTTTAAGTGGTAAGAGTGTTGGTGTTTATGGAAAAGTAAATACGTTTATTGTTCCATATGGTTAAATGTGTACACAATTTATTTGTGTAAAACTGAAATAAAAATTTGGTGACTGAAGAAAGGTCCCACGATGTCAATCTCCGGCCTCCACATGCATGTGCACACATGTGTATGCATACCACACATGAACACACACACAGGTGTTCTCCAGAACATTAGAGTAGAAATAGACCCAACAGGGTCTCACAATATAGCACTAGAGCTGACCTGGAACTTGCAAAGTAAGCTGGGGTGGCCTTGAACTCACAGAGATCCACCTGCCTCAGCCTACTGAGCACTGAGATTAATGTTTATTTTTTTAAAGCTGAGTGGAGTTGGGCCTGGTGGCCAAGGCCTTAGGGGGTGGCAAGAGGATCCATCAAAGCCTACATGGTCATTTAAGCTAGACTCTGGAGAGAGGGGTCTAGGAAAGAAAGGGGAGAGGGAGGGGAAGGAGGGTAGAAGAGAAGAGGGAAGGGAGAAGGAAATCCGGGGAGACACAGGGTATGTAGATCTGTGGTAAGAGAGCTTGCCTAGGCCTGGGTTCAATGCTCCACCCCAAGTTACAGATTTTAGCAGTGAGGATGCCTCGAGGATCTGCCCTCCTGAAGACATCAAATCATGTGGACCTCTTCAGCCCTTCCCCAGCCTCTGAATGAAGTGGTTTCACAACCCCTCCAAATTACTACATTTTGTTTATTTTACGTATGTGTGTGTGTTGTAGAATGTTATTTTAACTGGGCAACGATGTGTTAGGTTTATGCTGCAGAATATTGCTTTAACTGTGTAAAGGTGTGTCACATTTGTGCCGCGTTTGTTTGATGACATCAGGATGTGTGCCCAGTTATGTACAGATGTGTTGCATTTGTTTCACCGTGCCTGCCTAAGGCACCTGACTGATATACTACAAACCTGAACATTCGCTAACGAGGCAGGAGAAGGAAAGGTGGGACTGGTGGGCAGACAGAGACTAGGAAAGAAAAGAATGAAAGAAGAGAGAAGAGAATGAGAAGAAGGGGGCACACCCTGGGCAAGAAGCCAAGCAGCCACCAGTCAGCCAGACATGAGAAGCAGTGAAAGTAAGATATACAGAAGGAAAGAAAAGTAAAAAGCCCCAAGGCAAAAGGTAGGCAAAGAGGAACAGGGTCATTTAAGTTAAAAGAGCTAGCCAGAAACGAGCCTAAGCTAAGCGGAGCATTCCTGATGTGGGAGCTGGTTAGTGGCCCGAAAGGAAAAGCCTGGTACTTGTGTGGTCATGCATGGATGGAGACTGAGGACAACTTGGAAGACACAGTTCTTTCTATCCACCATGAGGGTTCCAGAGATCAAACTTAGATTATCAGGACTGGCCGCAAGTGTATTTATGAGCTGAGCCATCTTGCTGGCCTCACAACTTTGTTTTTTTGTTTGTTTTGTTTTTTTTTTCCAAGATAGGCTTTCTCTGTGTAACAGTTCTGGCTGTCCTGAAACTTGCTTTGTAGACCAGGCTAGCCCCAAACTCACTGAGCTCTGCCTTCCTGTGCCTCCCGAGTGCTGGGATTAAAGGTGTGCATCACCACCACCCAGCTCACATCTTATCTTCTGAAACCTGGGGCACACTGATTTAACAAGACTGGCTGTTCTGTGAGTTCTACGGATTGCCTGTCTCTTCCCCCGATGTTGAGTTTACACGTATGAACTCTGCATCCAGCTTTCGTGTGGATGATGGGAACTGGAATCAGGTCAGCATTCTTACACAACCAATAGTACTTATTGACTGAGCCATCTTCCCAGACCCTGCTTTTGTGGTTAATTTTTCTTCTTTGAGATTTTTGTGTGTGTGTGTGTGGAGGTATGTGTACGTCAGGCTTGTGTGCTGAGCATTTTTTGCGGGGGGGGGGGGCAGGGAGGTTCAAGACAGGGCTTCTCTATGGTGGCAAGCACTTTTACCTGCTGAGACATCTCGCCAGCCCCCTGGCACTTTCTGACTACTGTTGTTCAGTGTTACACATTTGTATAAAAGTTTACATCTTCATTGAGATAGACTTCACTTACTGTTTTAGTCACCCATTTGCAGCGAACTCCCTGACCAGCAGGAAGGAACAGCCACCAGACGAGGATTCTTCTCAAATCATCACGCTTTATTGGAGCCTCTTGGTTGAAGGGAGAGCAGAAAGCAAGGGGCCCCTGAGCTCTGAGCTGCAGCTGCTTATATAGGGAGTCTGCCTAGCAACCTTTGATACTTCGATACTTTTACTGCTTTTCTGGAGACCCACCTGCCGGAAAGAAAGCAGGGGAACATCCTTGTCAATTACAGACCACAAGGAAGTTCCCCTGCAGGTCAGGGGGAGTGTGGGCAGCTAGATCACAACAACTCACTCTGTTTTCTGGTGGAAGAACTGCAATCTCTATTATAGAAACGAATCGTACCTGGACTGGCCGATGCGCACCTGCCGATGTTCCTGGCCACGGAATTGGCCCTAAGCACATATGCGAGAGGCACGGTTCCACTGCATTGCCTAATATGGAGTTATTTATCAAGCGAGGCCGGGGCCAAATGCCATGGCTCCCAGCACCCATTCAGTATGAAGTTCGATGGTCTGAGTTTAATTTTTTTTTTTTTTTTTTGAGTTTCGAGACAGGGTTTCTCCATAGCTTTTTGGTTCCTGTCCTGGAACTAGCTCTTCTAGACCAGGCTGGTCTCGAACTCACCGAGATCCGCCTGCCTCTGCCTCCTGAGTGCTGAGATTAAAGGCATGCACCACCATCACTGGGCTTTATTTTTCAAACTAATATTTTAAAATGTATAAGCCAATGAAGGCTCAACAGGTAAAGGTGCTGAGGTCAGTCCCTGTAACCCACACGGTAGCGCTGTGGAATAATCCTTCTGTACACTGTGAATACGTATGACTCTCATTGGTTAATAAAGAAGCTGATTGGCCTATAGCAAAGCAGGATAAAGTTAGGCAGGGCAACTAAACTGAGGACACAGGGATGAAGAGCTGAGTGAGAGAGTCGGTAGCAGACACAGGAAGATGGCACACCTTACTGAGAAAAGGTACCAAGCCACTTGTCAAAGCATAGTTAAGAATGGCCAAAAGACACCTAAGGTCATGCTCAACTTCCTTAGCGATCAGGGAAATGCAAATCAAGACAACTTTAAGATACCATCTTACACCTGTCAGAATGGCTAAAATCAAAAACACCAATGATAGCCTATGCTGGAGAGGTTGTGGAGAAAGGGGTACACTTATCCATTGCTGGTGGGAATGCAAACTTGTACAACCACTCTGGAAAGCAGTGTGGCGGTTTCTCAGAAAATTTGGGATCAACCTACCCATGGACCCAGCAATACCACTCTTGGGAATATACCCGAGAGGCCTTATCATGCAACAAAAATATATGCTCTACTATGTTCATAGCAGCATTGTTTGTAATAGCCAGAACCTGGAAACAACCTAGATGCCCTTCAATTGAAGAATGGATGAAGAAAGTATGGAATATATACATATTAGAGTACTACTCAGCAGTAAAAAACAAGGACTTCTTGAAGTTTGCAGGCAAATGGATGGAAATAGAAAACACTATCCTGAGTGAGGTAAGCCAGACCCAAAAAGAGGAACATGGGATGTACTCACTCATATTTGGTTTCTAGCCATAAATAAAGGACATTGAGCCTATAATTCGGGTTCTTAGAGAAGCTAAATAAGAAGGAGAACCCAAAGAAAAACATATAGGCATCCTCCTGAATATTAACCTTCATCAGGCGATGAAAGAAGACAGAGACAGAGACCCACATTGGAGCACCGGACTGAAATCTCAAGGTCCAAATCAGGAGCAGAAGGAAAGCGAACATGAGCAAGGAACTCAGGACCGCGAGGGGTGCACCCACACACTGAGACAATGGAGATGCTCTATCGGGAACTCACCAAGGCCAGCTGACCTGGGTCTGAAAAAGCCTGGGTTAAAACAGGTCTCACTGAACATAGCGGACAATGAGGACTACTGAGACATCAAGAACAATGGCAATGGGTTTTTGATCCTATTGCATGTATTGGCTTTGTGGGAGCCTAGGCTGTTTGGATGCTCACCTTACGAGACCTGGACGGAGGAGGGTTTTCCTTGGACTTCCCACGGGACGGAGAGCCCTGATTGCTCTTTGGGCTGACGAGGGAGGGAGACTTGATTGGGGGAGGGGGAGGGAAAGGGGAGGCGGAGGTGGGGAAGAGACAGAAATATTTAATAAATAAATAAATAAAGCATAGTTAAGAAATATGGGTTAATTTCAGTGTAAGAGTCAGTCTTAACAAGCCTGAGCTATCAGCCGAGCATTTGTAATTAATATTAAGTCTCTGAGTGATTATTTGAGAGTGGCTGCAGAAAAGAAACATTGCCCACGTGATAGAAAAGAACCAACTCTTGAAAGTTGGTCTCCAACCTACACACACACACACACACACACACAGAGAGAGAGAGAGAGAGAGAGAGAGAGAGAGAGAGAGAGAGAGAGAGAGAGAAAGAAAATTTAAAATTTTACAAATGGGGCCGGGCGGTGGTGGCGCACGCCTTTAATCCCAGCACTGGGGGGGGGGGGCAGAGACAGGCGGATCTCTGTGAGTTCAAGGCCAGCCTGGTCTGCAAGAGCTAGTTCCAGGACAGGAACCAAAAGCTACAGAGAAACCCTGTCTCGAAAATCAAAAAAAAAAAAAATTTACAAATGGGTAAGAAAGTTTGTCAATTGAACCCAGTTTTTAAAATTTAGATATATTTATTTTATAAGTATGAGTGTTTGCCTATGTGTGTATATGGGCACCATGAGTGTGCCTGGTACCAGCTAAGGCCAGAAGGGGGCTTTAGATTCCCTGCAGGGTTTGCGAAGATGAGTGCCACCAGTCACAGGACTGAGGATGTGAATTTGAACCTGCCCCAATCCATTACACCTCTCCCATTTGGTGTGCGTGGAAGCTGGCAAATGACTGGATTATTACTATCATCCTTTAAAAAAATAGCTTTATATGTATGGGTATATA